CGAGTCTTCTCCACCGTCTTGGGTGACGACACCTGAAGCACCTTTGCCTTGCCACGCACGCCCTCAACCTCTGTCAACATATTGCGTTTTTTCATTGTTTTCATGATAAACCCAAGAGCATGTGCAATCTCATGCGCTGAAACACGAACACTGTACTCCGAATCAGTGACAAAGCTCGGGTCATAATTCACCACTCCGGCAACGGGACGCCCGTCGGCTAAGCGAGAGCATGAAGTAGCCCACGCAAGAGAGGAACCCTTTGTCGAGCCAGCGGAGACATACAATAGCATGTCCGCACCAAAAACACCCACTGTGTGGTGGGAGCTGGGTATTGTAAACTCGGCGCATGTACCTAACAAGAACTCTGGTACAATAAGGTAGCCCGTGAGAGGTTCAACAAGGAGACGATCCGTATGCATTTTAAGTGCTCGGGGAATAAGGGATTTCAATATGATGGACTTTTTTTCCTTCGTCAAAATATCCTCTTTTCTACACACAACAGTTCCCCCAGTAAAGTCCGGACGAATCTGCCCCTCAGCGGTGCAGTATTTTAAGGGATTGTTCAGATCCTCCGTGAAGGCCTTAAAGCGGATGGGCGCCCATTCGGGAGCCGAGGCAGTCATCGCCCGCATCATTCCACTTTCCCGAGTTGGCAGCTCCAGCACCACTGCTGTCGTCCGGGGGCCAACCTTGTTTTCAATTTCTTCGGAGATGCAGTGATGCTCAGCGACGGCAACAGAGCCAGAAAAGCAGCAGAGCAGCGGCACCAGCAATAGCAGAGTGTGACGCATCCTTGTGTGTGTTTTCTCTTTTGGGCCTTTCACAGCACACTTTAGCTGCTTGTATGCTTGTCAATTGGCTTACCTTGAGAGAAGAAATGAATGAATTAAATAACTTGTGTAGGCTCAATAAAATACTTAATCAGTGAGTTATGGTAACTGCTGAGATACACATTGAGTACAACATTACGAAATCATCTCGGCTTTTTTTCCACAATAAATAAGGATACTTCGTGAACGCTCGTCCATTTGTTTCACTGCGGTTGACTGGAAAATTCACTCCGGTCCATTGATGGCATTCCACCTCTTCACTTTTTTCCCGTTCTTTACATTTTCTTCGGGTTTTCCCCTACTCTCACCAACACGTCTGGCTATACGATGCCATCTGAGTGCCGAAGAGGTGGTCGAGCAACGACAAAAGTTTCCTGCTATGAGGCAACTGCCATTGAGAGAACTTTCCGAGGCGAAGGTCCCGTTCAATGCCCAGCCGTTGGCGCACAGGCAAGGTGCCTGGACATTCTAGAAGCAGATGGCGCAATTCTTGATGCGGGTAATTGGCGTGCTTGTGGAGGTTGGCTGATCCTGCGGCGGCAGTGATCGTCCGCCGGCACTGCTGTTTAGATGTCGTGTGGCGTCTGGGTTGTGTGCGCAGCGATTTCTGTGCTGTGCGGTGCTTCTCCGTGTGGGGAAAAACATGTCACAGAAATTGCATTTAAGCTCGGGAAGCGGTGGAGGATTTTTCGGATGAAATGACCGACAGTGACTGACGAGATTCGAGAATCCCGTCAATATAGAATCACAGTACGGACATTTCTCCTTCCGACGGCGTGTGACGGTCCGTCTCCTTACTGGAGAGACGTCTTCCTCCCTTGCCGACGGGGGAACAGTGTCCGTCCCCGGTGCGGTTGGATCGTTGTTAGAGCGCATATATGCAGACTGTTCTGGTGAGATGTTGCAGAAACGGCATTGGTTCGTGCAATCTCTCACAGCCCAGTATAGTCGACCCCAGAGCTCAGATTCCCCGCACCTTGCCCTTGCGAGGTGAACCAGTTCTTGACGGTGAAGAACTTCCTGAGTGATCAGGTCCTTACCGCTGAGATCTGATGGCCTTGTGCCGCAAAGCAAGCAGCGGTGATTGTATTGACGAATGGTACTACGCCACGTATTGGTGAGCTGGGTAGTAAAGCATGTAAGCAGATCCGTATGCCATAAAGGTGCGATTCCGTGCTCCGTGTATTGTCCAGTTTCCAAAGTCTGTGTCGCATGCTGATCTGCAAGCTCGTTAGCATGTATTCCACAATGTCCGTAACAAAACTGCAGGTGCACGGACCAGCCAGCACACGCCAGTGTCAAGAGACGCTGCCAGATCCGATCCTCCGTCCAGTAGGTTTGACTGAGCGAGCCCTCAACAAAGGGCCGCTAGAAGAGACTGACTGTCGGTAACCACAAGCAGAGTTTTGCGCTTGTAGCGGATACGAGGGATAATCGGCTTCTCCAGGGCTAGAAGCAGCGCACAGCACACACTCTCTCCAAGCAGCTCATATCATGTGGCATCACTGCACGGCAAAGTCATCGTGATGGGCAGCCCTGAAGCGGGGATGCGAAGAGTAATGCGGAAGAACCTCCTTTCACCGTCGTTCTCTCGAGGTGCTCGACAACAGGCGTGCCGGCGGTGCAATGATCATGACCGTCTCTTCCGCACTGCACCACCTGCCATCCCATTGCGTTAAGGTCGCCGTGTTCGCCGTTGCTCTCTCCACCGCCCCATGACCACGCCGGATCGGAGCGTCGCCAAAAGCTGCCCCGAAAGCCAACACACCGGGCCAATGGTGCGTTCTGTGACTCACCCGCAGTGCCGAAAGTTCCTCCAGCAGCGCAAAGGCCGTCCGCCGTGTGCGCGCCTCTTGCGAGCGGGAGGAAGCCCCTCTGCAGCACCTCCCAGGGGTTGCTGGCAACAACGTATACGCACGTGTGCTACAACCCGTCCCTCCGTGGCTATGGGAGCTGGCTCCAACCGCTTTTTGTTGTTGTTTTTTTCTCGTGTTTCCTCAAATAAATTCGACGACCCGCACGCCGGCCACCATCGTCGAGCACGTCCGCCCTGCTGAGTGGAGACGTGAAGGAGAGCCCCGGCCCCCGGAGAGGCAGCTGCAGCAGAGGGCGTGAAACACAACCCTGTCACGCCTCCGCCCCGAACTAGCACGGTAGCTCAATCATCCGTTTTTGCCGAGAATCAGCACAATAACAAAACCATAAATCAACCAACCAAATAATCGATCAATAATGAGAAGTGAGAAGGCGCCTGCCACCAGCATCGAAGTTACGTCGCATCTTCGAGGAGCTTCGTGCCTTCTCGCCGCGCAGAGGCACTGTTGGGGGGCAGAGCCTTTCCACCCCGAGAAGAAACTGCGCCAACCCTTTTCGTGAGGCACAGCTTCCCCAATTTCCAAGTGTCCGCTTCATGTTATGTCTAATTGCCGGCAGCGCCGGGCAGCGGAGTGGATGCGGACCCGTTTCATTGCACAATTCACGTTCGCCGGTTTTCACGATTTCTGGTTGATGCCCGTGGGGTGCCGTGCGGTGGTGGGTCAGTCCGGCATTGCTTTAGTGCTAAAAGCCACATGTTGGGCAGCGAAACTCCACCAGTGGTGATCCCATCGGGGTCTCGTCGGCGGGCGAATTGCGTTTGGCAGCCGTTCCCGAGCGCCGCCAGCCGCCAACAATTCCCCCGCCCCACTTTCGGTGCGTATGGCGGCACGTCTGCGGGATCGTGAGGACACGACGCTCAGGGACGCAATATGTTGAAAAAACAAGAGCTAATGTCAAAAGAGAGAATCCCCCGCACCGCCGCACAGCATCATACGGAGGCCACACCATCCACACCCACGGCTGTATGCGTTCGGAGAAACGCGGCCTCCCTCAATCCTCGTCTTCGCATCGTGCCTCAAGGCGGCGCTCTTCGTCGCGCGGCTGAACGATAAGCCAATAGATTCACACCACTTGGAAAGGGCCACCTGTTCTCCCGTTGGCGCCACTTCTTGGCCGCACATTGGTCCCGCCGAACCACGCTCTTCCGCCGCCCGCTGGTCCGGATACTGCTAACCCAAACAGAAGTCTCCTTACCACGCGCGGCACCACAGACTGCGGTCTTACCATCTCGGGGCCTTCCGCCAAGACCCTCGCAGCGGTGCGGGGAACTTCCGGACAACACTCGTGGCCCGTGTGAAGGCGAGTCAACTCCACGAGATCCACAAATCTCACTCGACAGCGGAAACTCGCCCGTGCATATCCGCCAAAAGAGCCGCCTCTAAAAAGGCGCAACCAAGTCCAGTAAAGCGGCGGCTTCGTCCCATAATGCGCTAAGATACTGTGAAATGTGAAATGGCAGAGCAATCATGACCCCGGCGTCCTCATGGGCGTTCCGTGCCTTTGGCCATGCGATAAACCGCCATCCCCGCCCTGACGGCTTGTCCAGCACCGCCGCAAAAGGCACCGCTGGCCCACCCCGCGACAGGCCCTTCCATGGCTCTACAAATAATACCCGCCCTTTTCACAAGCAGCGCATGCTGTGCGGAGATCCTCAAATTCATTTCGTTCCCATCGCTCGTCGAGGTGACGGACCGTAACACAGTGTCCTTCCACAAATCGTCAACACAGTCGCGTGCCGTTGGATTCATCCGCCGTCGGATCCACTTCAGGGAGTAAAAGTGCACAGGTCCACTCTTCGCCGGGGCAGGCAATCCTCCTTCTCCTCCCGCAACGCAACCCGACAACTATGGGTGCGCCAAACGATGCTGCGGCCCTCAGGAAAGATGGTCGTGTGCCGTCCCTCCCCGGCGACAATTGTGCCCACAGCACCGTCCCCCGGTGCGCCAACTCGTTTCCACCAAAGGTGTCAACCGCACGACGTCTTGGGGAGGTATCCCACGGCATCACCACGAGCGCAGCGTTGAGAGAAAAACCATGCCGAGCGGCCGCACCCGGACATTGATGACGATGTCCCGCCTGTGCCGGCCCAGAAGGCATTGCTTCCGGAGCCAAAAGTCCTTTTTTGTGTGTTTATAGGCCTCCTTGCGCAGCTTCACTCGGCACGTCGTGTTGCATTGTCCAATCCAACCACTTTTGCGGCATCGTGCTTCATTGGGCGGGGGTGCGGCATGCTATTTCTTTGCTCTCTGAACCGCCTAGGGGAAAGGGCGGTCCCATTTCTGGGCATTTCAACAGCACCCTGAATGTCCTCGACCCGCACTCCAGCATCGTTATTCACTGTCCCGAGGATCCATTTGACTGAGTGTACGCAGTCGCCCTGACAACTGGCAAGATTCCATGAGCAACTCCTCCCCGCGAGTGGCGCACGCCCAGGACACACCGTTCCCCTCACGGCTGTCTGCATGCCGGGATCTGGCGCACCCGGCGTCGCAAAGGTGGCCCAAGACGCATCCAGGAGCCGTGGCCAGGCGTTGCATCCATCATGCATTTCAATACGCCGTCAAATGGTGCGACTGCAATCCTCCGTACGAGTCCCCGCCTCCCACGGATTCCCCACTTGGTCCCCCGTGTGCCCCGTGGGCCGAGTAACAGCTCTAATCCCTCTGGCACGTCATGAATTTGTAGGATCTTTCGATTGTCTCTGCCGTACGGGACGCATTCCACCTTCCCGTGGCAGGAGCGGTGGAGACTTGTGACGGGCCTTGCGGAGTGCTGATGGTCGCCAAGTTGTCGTTCCATTGATGACCATGAGCAACTCCTGCATCGGCGCCAATCGAATCCGCACCGCCTGGAACTGCGCGTGGGCATCTGAGCTGCATTTCAGTATTTTTGCTCCTCCAACCAAGCCCAAGCGCACTCATATGGGCGCTGCAGCGCCAACTGCCTTCCTTGAAGTGCCGCCCACTTGTTCCAAACAGCGGTGTGCTTCTTCCTCTTCAGAGAGGCTTGAATGGACTCAGGGTTCCTCGGCGCGGTGATGGCAGCGACAGAGTGTCGCAACGAGGTGCAATTCATTCCTTTGTCTTGTTCCCGCCTTGCAACAAATTCGCCGCCCACGTGGTGGCTCAATGGCGGGCTAGTCGCTGGGCAAAGACAAAGTGAATAAAGTGCCGCTGGACCACTCCGCCTCAGAATGTGGTCGTGTCTGTCTCGTGGACACCGTCCGATCCATAAACCATCCTAGCAACTCAATTCCCTTTCAAAATATGCGGCTTGCAACAAGCTGCATGCATTGTAAATTTTGGGAAAAGATTTGATTATTGTCGGATATTGTCACCAGACACATTTCAGCCCGCACCATTCCTCTCGCAGCCCTATATATATATAAAAATAAAACGCTGGCACCTATTTCTGAAAGTGAATCTCCATGGTCTTGGGACAAAAATCTGCGTCCCCGTCAATAAGGAGGTACGGGAAAACAGAAGATATTGTCATAAAAAGATAAAAAGTATATATATATATATATACCAATGGTGGTGACAAGGTGGATTTCTCACAATCACAATTTAAGAAGGATTCTTTCAGGCAACGGCGCTGGTTCAAAGAAAAAAAAACAAAAAACAACACAAAACGGGGGATTGGAAGGGAGTGACATCTTCTTTCCTGTACGCATACAAACACGGAGAATTTAAACAACAACAACAATAAAAAAAAAAAAAACTCCAAAAGAGTAAGGTAAAAAAAGCTTTTCTTTCAAATTTTTTTTTTTTTTTTTCACGTGGGGATATGCTTATATAAATATACATATAAATATGGTTATGAATATATATATTTATATATGCCTATATAAATTTGTTTTAATTGTTCCTTTTTTTTTTTTTTTTTTTTTCTTTTTTTTGTATGTATGTACTCGCTCCCTAATATATACTGTGGGTGCTGCGTTGCATCCATCTACACCTCTTTTTCTTTTTTTCTTTTTTATTTTCCACAGACACACACACACAACTCTGTATCAATCATTTTTTTTTTTATGCATGCAATAAAACACGGTATTTTTATAGGAGGGGGAATTGGAGGAAAGATACTGGCAATGCTTGATTCTCCATTTATAACGTAAATTCACGCACACTCTCCAAAGCCTCCTGCGCCTTTTTCAGCGCTATCATCATTGTCTTTGTAGCCTTGCGCTGTGTTTCCACCTCTGGTGGTTCCGCGAGAAGATCATCCGCCTTTTTTTCACTGTACAGACTGCGCACCAACCTTGAATACACATCCTCGCGCAGTTTCGTTATCATGAGGAGCGTGATGGCTTTGGGCACCTGGTCGGCAACAGTGCCCTTCACAATACCAAAGTACCCCTCAACCATATCCCTTATGACGTTGTTAATGTGCTGCTCGTGCATTGACATGTTGTTGCCCAGCATGATCGTCACCGGGACATCCCCCATGTCGCTCTTCTCTACTCCGTTTGAAGTGGGTTCAGAATTGACTTTTTTCCCCTTGTCCTTTCCTTCATTTCCTCCCTGCTGAGACTGGCTGGTTTGTGACTTCTCATTCTCCGTACCGAATATTTTCAGGAATGACCGTTGCACCAGTTGCTCCATCATTGGATGTTTCACGTTGACGAAACCGCGCTCCGCTGCAATGATTGTTCGAACGTGAGACATGGTTGGTGCACGATACTCCTGCAGTGACTGGCGGCAGATATTCTACAACGG